TTTTAATAGAATGTTCCGATTTTAAACACATTCGTGATAACTACTTCCGAGTCCCGGATATGAAAACACTTTTCAGTTCCGTGGATTCGAAGGCATTATTTAACTATTTGAAAGACATCGGTCTATTTTATAGACTCTGATGTCTTTTAACCCACCTTATCCTTTTTGACGTTATATATATATCGCATATTCCATATCATCTATTCCTTATCTCTTTTATTATTTTAACCCCCTTTTATCATTTTTAATTATCTACACATACAATGCGAATACTTTTAAAATGAACCATTTTATCTGATTTTATCTTCGCTATTCACATGTTTGTTAAAAAAGTAAAATAAATAAATAAATCACCATGGCCCTAAATGACCACAGCCGTCGATGGGCCGTTAAACATAAACAAACAAACAAACAAACTTTGAAACTTGATATACATTGTAATCATGATATGAAGATGTGTCTCGCTTTAAAGAATTTTGATTCAACATTTTTTCCAAAAGTAATTGCCCTTTGTTCATTTCAGTATATGATTTTTTGTCCGGCAATCTCCGCCTACATTTTTTGACGGATTTCTTTGAAACTTTGTAGGCTAAATAATCATGATATGTTGTTGTGTTTCCTTGAAAAGAATTTTGATTTGATAATGTTTGCAAAAATTATTGCCCTTTGTTCATTTCAGTGTTTGATTTTTTTGTCCAGAGATTTTCTCCTACATTTTTTATAGCATGTCGGCTAATTAATAACCACTCTTAGAATGATGCAGATTTTATTTCAATGTAAGAAAGTATATTTAACACAATATGGCATTCGAGGGGCGTATATTGTTCCGCCCCGCGAGACTCTTGTTGTTTTTATTGTGCAGATTAATTTATGCAAATTGCACAGTTTTTTCAGGAAATACTGTAAAAACCCAGAAATAATCCTGGTTATTCGATAATTAAAGAAGAAAAACAATCAGTGATCAATTGTGTGATAAGTTTATAATTTGATGGGACTTTTATTTTTTATTTTTTATTTTCACATATTTTTTTATTTCCATTCCAAGGCATAGTACATGTCAAGGTACGGCTAAGATACAGAAGGTTATCATTTAGAGATTGTACATTTGATTCAGTCTGTTTTCATTCATATTGTTCTCATTCAGATAACTTGTTATATTTTATGTATACAGAGTAAAGTTTTCCAAAAATACACTTTTTTATATATACCGGTACATGTATACACAAGTATTTATGAATCAAGAATTTTTTCCAATGTAGTGCAAATCTAGTAAAGTTACTAGTCTCATATTGTTCATTTAATTTAATGACTGTAAAATCATAAATCCACGAAATTAAATCCCCACAAAAAAAAAAAATTGGTATGATATAGATAGGGGAAAATCAGAAATCAGCGAAAGATAATGTCCTTGAAACAGGCTAGTATACTATGAAAACCACGAAAAGTTAACCCCACAAAAATAAATGATTCTACAGTATTATTTAAAAACTATGTTCTATCTAGAACTTCAGTAAACAAACTAGTACATATAGCTACTGCATTAAGGTCAAAATTCCTGCGAAGTTACAAATGGAATGCAGTTTTCACAATATTTGAAAAAGTGACATTTGATTTGATGGTATTCATAATCCTGAAGTAGAGTGACAACAACAATAGACAGAGTTGTTTACTGTACATAAGTTCCCTCCTTTTACGAACAAGTTTTTACATTTTTTTCTTTTTTCAATGCAAAAATAACATTGTATATATATTTATCACTTACGTCCAGGGCCCACTTGTATAAAACATCTCAACTCTTGAGATTTCCTCAAATCTAAGATTTCCCATAGACAATACATTGCTTGAGATTTTCCTTAAATTTGAGATGTTTTATACAAGTGACTGATAATATCAATTATGGAATCGGTAATTGATAGGTTTGAAAGACCAATATTTTTTTTCCTTTTCATACCATATTAACCAATATGAAGAAATATTCATGATGTTTGAATTTTGAATTGACAATTCATGAGGTTTAAAACCAAAATAGTTAACGATGGTTTACAATGCATTTTATATAAATCTGAAAAATTGACAAATTTATTTTTAATCTGACCTGACCATTATAGCGTATAATGCTCCGGGTAGTATTTTTCATGTACTGTGACAAATCTATGTTTTGTTTCTTTAGGTACACAGTGGTGGATCACATGACAAGGGTCCATCCGACTGAAAATGTAGCAACCCCAGTCATTAACCTGCTCGACAAACCATACAAAAAAAAGGCAACAAAAGACAGCTCAAGTGAGTCTAGTCCGGCGTCAAACACGTCATCAGAATCCTCCGACACCGACGTGTATTCCGGTACGTCAACTTTTGATGTAAAAGTAGATGAATTTTTCAATTGATCACTTACCAAAATTTACTTGTTAATTTTGGTGTGTTAAAATTTGGATATCTTGTGATAATCTTAAAATTTGAGTATTTGAAATACCATAGAAATTGGGTCTATATGAGATATCTCAATAGACAGAAATTTTGAGATTATCTGAATTTAACAGAAAAAAAATTAAGGTTGAAATCAGCACAGGACGAATATGGATTTTTACCATGGTAGTGCGAAAAATTGACAGAGCAAACTCAAGTTTTCTGGTATTTAGAAGATAATCCAGTCACCATTATTATCTCCTGTGGTTAATCCAGCTGCCTTAGTCTGTTTTCAGCAATAGTGGCTGGATTGAGAGATGAGTTGATTACTATGTATAGGAAAAAAATATTAATCTTCTAAATCACTTACTAATCACTGGCTTTAAAGCTTAACCCTTTCACCCCTAAGTAAATTTAGTAGATTCTCCCATGTTTTGATATGGATGAGTCTAGTATGTACTGTTGTTCTTCTGAGAGTGTAAATACTGTATATATTCCACTAATACAGTGAAGGACAGGATCCAGGTTTTAACCCTTTCACCCCTAAGTAACTTTAGTAGACTCTCCCATGTATTGATATGGATGAGTCTATTATGGTCTACAGGTACAGTGGTGAAAGGGTTAAGATTGGACAATTGGGTGGTCCAACTAGTGAGTGAAGCTTGACTGTGACAAGTTGTTACAATTTACAGATTTGGATCCCCTGGCACGAAATCCTGTCGTAAAAATGTAAACAAGTTTATCTATAACTGTTTACTGTATATCGGGAAAGTTTCGCCTAGATAGTCAAATTTTTGCCATATTCCCAAAAAAATCACTTTCCCCAAATTTTAATTTTGCCTTCACATTTGATTACTAAATTTATTATATCGCTTACTACGGTTTGCTGTGATGATAAATTCGCTCTCTTTACGGGCAAAAAAAAAGACAAAAATTAAACTGCAGCTAAAATTCCCCGGTGTACAGTAAATTTCATAGGTTTTCAGAAGTTTGTTATTAACATTATTTGTCATAATCAGTAAAAAGAAGTTATTTTTATTTCAGTGTAGAAGTTACAAAAGTTATATTTCTATTTGTTATTTTGTTAGGTGCTGAAGAAGAAAACGTGCCAAGGGCGAAGCGTGTTACTGCCAAGGCCTCAAGTATTCCCGACCAAATCCTGGAGTCCTCAGACTCGGACATCGCTCAACCCATTCAAACACCAAAAACTAAAACAGCCACAATAAGGAAAAGGGCGAGAATTTCATCAGATTCCGACGATGAAAATGAGGCTTTTGAAAGGAAAACGAAACGTCAAAAACAAAACAGGTCAACCTCAAAGTCATCTAAGACACAACGTCTTAGCTCTGATAGTGACGAGAAGACAGAGGAGAGTGAAGAGGAAGAAGAAACCTCTACCTCAGATCAAGACACTGATGAATCTTCCTCATCTGATGGTACTGATGATGAAGACGACAACAATGAGGAGGAGGAAGTTATGGTACCACATCGAAGAAAACGTCATCGACCCCTGACTGACGGTTCAAGTGATGAAATAGGTAAGACCTCTTGGGCTGTTTTTCGTTTAAACAGTTGGACCTGTCAGACCACAGTTGTTTTTGGTTTATTAAACAAGGTCGGACCTAGTAATCTGATGCCGCTTTCAGCCGAGCCTTGACAAAGCCTTGCAAGGACTGCATAAGAATTTCCAGGTCAACCAGGATTTATACCGGAAATTGTTACATTTAAAAACGGACAAACCGGTTGTCCCGCATAAACGAACAAGCCCTAGGTCTCTTGTTAAGCATGAACAAAATGTCAGACTGGCAGCCATCTTGGATTTTGAAAGTTGAAGTTTGTTATTGAAAGTACTGGAGGGATCTTTCTCAAATGTGTATGTTCTCCTTGGTCCTTAGTTGTGCATGCCTTCTTTTGAGAGTGAACATAAAAACAAGATGGCCACAGGAAGAACTTAACAGATCTTTCTCATATTGAAATGATGGGTTATATTTCTTTCACATTAAGTACTCTATTAGAAAATATGTGAAATGACAATCTTACTGTGAAGGTTGTCTTATACAATGTATAGCAGTATGAGTGACCTCAAGGTGCATTTACTGTTTACAAGACTTGATCAAACAGATAATAGAAAAGAAGAGAAGAGATCGAACTGACATAGAAGTAAATGGTACGTACAGTGGTGTGCGCCAAGATCCCTTTGTGGGATCTCTTGAATTTGGGTCCTAAGTTTTGAATTTTTCATTTCAAGGCTCATTAGTATAGCAAAATGGCTACCATGCAGCCATCTTAGATTTTGAGGGAACAGAGTTTCTTAAATTTCAAATGTAGGTTCAAATTAAGTAACTTACATAAATCAAACCAATTAAGATGGTATGATGGTGGGCGCAAAGATCCCTCTGGTTTACAATAAAGCACAATCATTTTCTTTCCAGTGATAGTTAAAACCCTGCTTACCCACATTTTAGAATTTGTTGGAATACAAAATGTCAGTACTGAAATTGCATAATTATTGATCAATTTAAGCTGTCTGTGATACAAAACTCGCTCAAACTGATCTATTTTCATATTGGCAGCGTTTAATAACTGAGTAATGGGAAGTTCTCATTTGCCTCTTGTGTCTTACAGATCATGGGCTGACACGCTACTTCTGCCACCAGTGTTGTTTCCGTAGTGAAGATCTTAAAGTCTACTGCCGCCACCTGGTGACCCACGGAGGTTATAACCAGTTGTGTCCCCATCATCTTCCAGAAAACCTTCGGAGACCCGTGGAAGAGGAACTTGGACGACTCGTGGACGGAACGGCACGGAATGAGGGGACCACTTTCTGCTGTGCGTACTGTAGTTTCATGGCCGCCACCTCGTTCCGCGTGAAGCAGCACATCACCAAGCGCCACCCTGACCACTACACAGACTACATGGAAATCCACACGAAACATCAGAGGTCAGAGGTCATGGTGGTTGCCATGCAACCTTCCATAATCATGACAGACATTTGTAAAATGGACCTTATGGATTTAGCCATGATGTTGGCTCATGAAGGCGTAAGAATGAACAGTGGAAAAAATCATGAGTGTCAAGATGAAGGGTCAGAAACTGGTGCCACTTGCGCAGGCAGTTCTGGCGAAAAGAAGAGGAAAAAAATCAGCATCATGAGGCCATCAAAGTATTACAAAAAGTCTGGTTCCCATACAAATGTCCACCAGAATGATGTCCTCACAGATGACAAGGGTAATGAGAGTTTGTCTGACGCGAGGACGGGGCGAAGGACAGAGGAGATGATGGATGCGGAGGAAGGACCTTCGTCTAGAAATCAGGATCTCTCATCAGGGGAGGCAGAACAACCCCAGAACATATTCACTGCACTGGTAAAACTAACACAGGAGGACAGAACTGTGAATCGGGGGTTTGAGAATGTTTTAGCGGAGTTTCTATTGGCTGAAGAAAAAACGGGCACCGATTCCTCAAGGATAGTGAATGTGAATGATAAGGATGAAATGGATGTTCCCAAGTCATCAGGAACTGGCAAAGATTCTTCGGGAAGTGGAAAAAGTTCTTCAGAGAGTAAAGTTGAATCCACAAAAAATCTTTCGTTGTCTTCAACAGTTGAAGAACATCTCCCTAAAGATGAAAATAATGTGTTAGAAATTGACAATAGTTCCATAACTACTGAAGGAAGTTCTTTAGAAAGTCCAGAAAATTCCTTTGAACCCAAACCAACAGACACGTATGAAGATATATCGGAGTGTAGTGACGGGTCCGAAGGTCAGTCCGACCGTCTTGGGGGTCATCAAACTTCCACGGACGTTAGGGACAAAGGTCAGACAGCTACGGACGATGTTTGGCTGACCGCTGTGAGCAGCACCACTGACAATGTGGACGTTGCAGACGGGTATTCGGACGTGTCTGACTGTACTGATTCCATTCTTATACAGGATGACAATTTGTGTGAGGAATTACCAGAAGCATCAGAGGTCCCGAACACAGCACTGGACAACAATTTCTGTGAGGCAACATCATACCCGTCATCAACACTGGCAACAAAATCAAGAAAGAGCTGTGATAAGGAAATATCCTCTGTAGGGGGCGATATGAGGTCTCCGTCGCAATGTGTCTCCACGGAAACAGATGTTGATGGAGGACGTTCGAAGGATACACAAGGCAAGGTTAATGACGACTCAGCAAGGACACAGGAAAAGAATTCAGTTACAGCTAAGGGAAATAACTCCGAGCAGCATTTAGCATTGTCAGAGACCTCACAGACGTCCAAGGGAGATAACTCCTTGTCATCAGAGATCACGGGTGACAATGTGATGTCCAGTATTGACAGTATGCTGGATAGTTTGTCGGACATCCGACAGACGCATGTTGCAGAGTCAACTGTCAAGCATTCAGCTGATAAGGACAAGTCTGTCAAACATCTAACCGACCAGGAAAAGCCAGACAATAGTAGTAGTGTCTTGTCCTCGCTTGAATCCCAGGACTCGGACAATGAGTCCTGTCTTTCTATCGGATTTGAGGTGAACACTGACTCACAGGAACTGTAGTGGAACCACAGGACGACTGTGAGAATATGTCGGGTGGGAGTACAAGGCGAAATCCTACAGTCAAGCAGCATCATGCAATGCAGTGTTAATTACTGGGCACGAACAAGTTTAACTCATTCATCCATGACATTTCATAATGATCTATTCCAACCTTTGAATTGGAAGAGTTCAAATATATCTCAAGGGGTGAATGAGTTTAATAGTCAATATTTGTATGAGATTACCCGATTTCAGTTCTTACTGTTTGTGTTGAAATGTACCGGTTAAATAATGATCTAAGGACTTCTAAGGTCGGGGAAATATTGTTAACATGTTTTAGCCGTTTTATTGTGAACATTTTTGCTGATGATTTTCAATGCAAGCTGATCAATACTCAACAGGTAGTTGAATGTTTTAGCTGATGCATCAAGGAGTGATTGTAATTACATGCATGCCTTATAATTATTCCTACATGCATTTCAACCAATTTGAACTGTTTCACATGTCAAATGTGTTGTGTTTACTGAAACTAAATACATTTTATTGGCAAATTTACCCAACAGACCACCCCTGTGTAGACAAGTCTGAATTTTTCTGACGTTTTATCGACTTTTTTTATATCGGTCTATCGTCAATTCCAGCCCTCTATAATATGCAGGAAATAAGCGACTAATTGATATTTTAGAAACAAATCGTCACTTTCACACACATGTCGTACACAAACGTCAGAATAATTCGAAAAGATTAGGATTTCTTTATCTGCTTAAAACTGATTAGTTGCCAAAATTCAATCACTTCCCTTTAAGATAAACAAGAGCATATTTCTGTATCTCCTGAAATATCTGAGTTATCATATGAATTGGTGCTAATATCATTGTCAGACTTTGTAGGTTGTGATTTATGTTAATTATGTTTTGATCTAATACATGTAATAATAAGTGTGCAACTTACATGTCACGGGATCTTGAGGGATCCTACAATATTTGTAGTACGATTGTCCTGGATGGTGACTATAGTACATATAATAATAGTTATATACAACATTTGTTATAGCGCCCTATCTAGCTAACATAAGTCACTCTAAAGCGCTTTAGAGTACATAAATATACAATCAATACCATTAGGCTATACAATTTTTGAGGAATTCGCAGGAGCTGCCCTATCAGGCGCCAACAACAGTCCTATGCCACCTGGCTAATATCTCCCTATGTGTGTATGCCTGTGTGTGTGCTGGAGATGTATAACGTGTTGTGTTTACAGTCGAGAAGCAACCCTGGTGATCATGATGCGACATTTGACCTGTATTTTTTTATTTTAGCTTTTTGTGTCTGTGTGCACTTACATTCTTCATTTGTGATGTTACATGTATACAGGGATAATCCCGGAGTGGGTTCATTGGGCCATTGACCACTCTAAACTTAAATTGACCCCTTCATGTTCCATTAATTTTACATAGAATGGTCCCTCTTAATTTTGATATTTTACCACAAACTGCTGAAAATGACCCACTGCTCTCAATTACCAGGATTTTCCCTGGAATATACCACCTATGTGATGGGTATAAGGGTACATGTATTTCTTTTGTATGTTATATATATATGCATATAATACATAGTAGGAAAGGTGATTTCATTATTGTAATGTTAACATAAACCATATTAGCAATAGCATACAATATGCTCAACTTAAGTCCATAATAGGGAAAAATGACGAACAATTCATGAGAACATGCAATACATTATTTGGTACATACAAATTGTATGTATACATATATACATTTTTTGTATATACAACACATATTGTATGTATACATATATACATTTTCTGTATATACAACACATATTGTATGTATACATATATACAATTTTTGTATATACAACACATATTGTATGTATACATATATACATTTTCTGTATATACAACACATATTGTATGTATACATATATACATTTTTTGTACATACAATACATATTTTTGTACGATGTACATAGAAATTGTATGTATACATTCATACATATTTTTTTTTGCATACATACATTTTTGTGTGACAGTGTATATGTTTTTGAGTGATTGGGTTGCGTATCTCAATAAAAGTTCAGAATGTGTGTTTAAATTAAATCATTAAATGCAGACACACAATATCATCATAGAATAATGAGTACATAACATTTAATAATGAAAATGTGCAATATCTGATAAATATATATAGATATATATATATATGTGTCATATTTCGTAATGAGAACAAAAAATATGTGCAGTAAGATTTCTATGCAGTAAAGATGATGTATAGAGAATATTTCATGAGTTTCTATCTCATAAGAGATTGAAGACAATTTTTATCACATAATGTACTGTGTTATCCAGTGACTATACCCATGTCATATTTTTTTTTGCATATTAACCCATGTAATATGACCTATCAGCCCTGTGATTGGTTGTAAGTTTCAATTGTTTCAGTTGTGATGACACGCCAAGGACAAGTACATGAGTCACAGACTTACGCACTGGAGTCAAAATGGGGGCTTTTTACATTTCAAGGTTACATGAAAATTGTCGTTTTACACGAATAAATGCCACAAATCTTGACAAAGTGATAAAAAGGATCTTACACTCATTTTCATTTCGTATGAAATAAATGAAACTCATCACAAATATTTAGACTCGTTTCATAAAACTCATATGAAATGGAAATTCATGTAAGATCCTATATATGAGAAGGAATGTCAGAATATGTTTAGGATATAACCCAGATTTGTTGGATATCTTTTGGGGAAAAAAGAGCTTAATTGGGGTCAAAATGCCATTATATTACCAGGGGTCAATCTAGACTTGATTCCCTACCATTTATGGGTAGTTTCCCCTACAGAAGAAAATTCCCCTGTTCTTTAACACTCCCCCTGTGTGCTTCAAAATTCCCCTATTTCAACAAGAAAATAGCTGTTTTTTCTTCAAAATGTTTCCCCTAAATATGTTTTCTCTTAAGTTCAACAGTTAAAATGCATAATACTGCTAATTATATACATTTTCTCCACTTATCTTAAACAAAAGTTCTTCAATTTTAAGCTTAAAATTGTTTTAAAAATTGAAATATACTGCACACACGTATGTCAGACAAAACATTTCTCTTCTACCTTCATGACGCTAGAGCCTTGTATCAAAAATTTTAATTTCCACCAAATCTGAAAAAGGGTAACTTCCCCTTAAACCTAGATTGATCCCAGATTATATATATACATATTTCCATCAGCAGGAGAAAATAATTTGTCCTGTTTGTCATCATGATCATGTCATCACAACATCAAATATTTCTGTGACGAAACGAAAAAAAACAACATTTTCTTTATTTTATTCCATAATTTTACAACGTTGTCCAAAATGCCAGTACTGCATATTTCCAATCAGCATGAAAAGATGTTGTGTTTTTATTTGTTCTTGTATCTGTCATCATCTTCATGTCATCGCAGCTTTCAAATATCTTTATGATATCACAAAAAATATCCCATCATTTTTCTCCTGCTAACAGAAATATATGTAATTTTGGCAATTTTGACCCCAAGCCATTTTAATAACATCAGAAAGTATATAGAAGGGGGTGATAATGTCTTTGTTATGAGGTCACAATTGAAACACTGAAAACCTAGAGAAAATAAATCACAGTTCCACAAGGTATTATTATAAGGTGTGTTTATAACAGATTAACTCATTCACCCCTGAAGACTCATTTGAACTCTCCCAATTCAATAGTTGGAATAGTTCATTATGAAATTTCAGGGGTAAATGAGTAAATGTTATGCACAATATGACAATTTTAAAATAACTATTGTTATATATGATAAAAATATGTATTGATAAGTAACATTTGCATATTCTTATGTTATATCCCGATCAATGTTCAAAGTTAACTCATTCACCCCTGAACACACATTTGAACTCTTCCAATTCAAAGGTTGGAATAGTTCATTATGAAATTTTAGGGGCGATTTAGTTTAGTTAGTATGGTTTGAATTCTTAAATGATAAATATTACTTTTGAAGTAATGAGAACTTCCCAGATGTGTACAGAAGAGCAATAATGAGGAAATCTTAAAATATGACTCCTGAGAAGAAAATAAACAAATCTAAATGTATATACTGGTTATGTAGTAAAATTTGTATTACTGTGTGCTGTGTAGGAAAGGATTATTTGATGTTCCAAAATACAAAGTTTCAATTCAAGAAACCAGGGGCCTGTTCGTTTATGCGGAACAAGCGGTTGGACCGTTTATATATGTAACAATTTCGGGTATAAATCCTGGCGGACCTGCAAATGTTTATGCAGGCCATGCAAGGCTTCGTCAAGGCTCGCCTGAAAGCAGTATCAGGTTACTAGGTCCGACCTTATTTAATAAACGAACAACAGTGGTCCGACTGGTTTGACCGTTTACACGAAAACGGCCCGGAACTTCCATGATATGTACAGTATAGCAATAAACGTGAAATCGTGAAATGATATCAATGGGAATGTAAAAACATATCATGTATTCCGTCTTTGCGTATTGCAGTTATCTTCTCTTAGGAGCAGGTATTGATTGTTACGTCATTGGTTTGTGCGAGAAAATTACGTTGTTTTCTCAAAAATTTATGACGTTACTCTCACAAACAAGTGACGCAACAATCAATACCTGCTCCCAAGAGAAGATAAACAAGTGACGCAACAATCAATACCTTCTCCCAAGAGAAGATAACTCTGCGATACGCAAAGACGGAATATAGGCAGTAAAACTTGCATTACCATGTACCATGGGATAAAGTTTGTCCTAAATGTTCAAAATTTGTCTTTGAATTAATAAATAAGAATGTACATGTACAGGAATGAGAAACACAAAACAACATTCCAATACGCTGATTTTTTCCTTACTTTTATTATATCTTTATGTATTATGGTTTACAATGGCAAATGATACTTTGAATATTACATGTTAATAAATTGATTGGAATTATAACCCTGAGTTGACAGTTTGATACTTTGAAAATTTTGAGCCAGCTCTACCCCAAGGGCTGTAGGATGGGGCCCAAAAGAGTCAGTGTGCTAAAATGTCTTCATTTTCCTTGTTTAGAATCGGAGGTGCTAGTTTCAAATACTTTTTAGTCTTAAATTTACTTATTGAAATAAGGTGGTTTTATTGTTTTTTGTCACTTTGAATAATATTTCTGTTCATGTTAAAAACCAAACCAACTCTCTGTATAAATATATCAGGTGACCATTAAGGCCCATGGTCCTCTTGTTAAATCTTTATATGATATATTCAATGGAAATGTGGATATGTGTCATACAATTTTTCTATTTTTTTCCCCCCTCTCTGGCCATCAGCCATGATACCAAACAACTGAAGTGAACCAGTTTTCTTAATCTCTTTTGGATGGAACATTTTATTATTTTTATTATTATTAATTATATTCCACACTGTTATTCATGGTAAGTGTATATATACGTACAGTATGTGAAGATAAATGATCAATTTTCTGGAATAAAGTTTAAATGTTTCAGTTATATTTGTACCACCTGATAAAATACCAATACTGTGTTCTTCTCTTTCATATATATGTACTGTGGTGTTTGGTGTTTTGAGTAACAAAACACCAAACACCACAGTACATATATATGAATTGAGTAAGGCCTCC